AACCATGTTAATCCAGATCACAAGGATTTTTTTGGTTCAACACCACTCTTATATGCAGCAGAGCGTGGGGATACAACTATAGTCAAGCTGCTGCTTGATACCAACCATGTTGATCCAGATCACAGGGATGATAATCGTTTCACACCACTTTTATCTGCAGCATGGCACGGGCATACAGCTATTGTTAAGCTGCTTCTTAATACCAACTGTGTTAATCCAGATCACAAGAATTGTTGGGGTCGGACACCACTTTCATATGCAGCAGAGCATGGGCATACAGATATAGTCAAGCTGTTGCTTGACACCAACCGTGTCGACCCCTATTCTAGGGATGAAGATGGACTTATGCCGGCAGACTGGGGAAGACGTAAACACAATGAAGTGTTGAGGCTGCTTCAGAACGTCCAGCAATGAGGGATAATATGAGAGTTATTGACTGAAAGACACTTCATCTACGACTCTACGAGTATTCAGTCCGGGAACAAAAAATGGGAGACGCTTTATAGCAGGTTCTTTCCTTTCCTTTCCTTTCCTGCCTGTATATATTCACTACCAGCCTAAATTAACCAAAAAAGAAAATAAAAAAGCTGGAAGGTGCAGCAGTAGCAGCAATAGCTACCTAAAATAACGCGAAAAATACCAGTGTAAACGAAAAAGAAGCGAAAGGTACACCTCTGACCCGGAGACAAAGGTGGTAGGTTACAAAAAGGGAAAAAAAAGAAAAAAAGAACAAAGGAAAAATCAGACACACACGAAGAAAAAATAATAAATACAAAAAAAAAAGTCAACAAACTGGCATCATTCGCAGAAGAGCATTTCCTGTTGATGTAGAAGCATCGTGGGCATCATTATCAATGCGCAAAGCCTCCGCGGACCACGCGCGAAGTAACAGCAACAGAGCCAAGGACGCGAAGAACAGATGAATTGGTCGGTGAGAAAAGTAGGGTATCAATCGAGAATGGAATAAATAATAAAAAAAAGATAGAAAAAAAATAATAAAAGAAGGAAAAGAAGAAAAGAACTAGAAAAT